TGGACAGGAGTCTCACTTTGTGCCCAGGCTAGAGTGAGTGCCGTGGCGTCAGCCTAGCTCACAGCAACCTCAAACTCCTGGGTCAAGCGATCCTTCTGTCTCAGCCTCCCAATAGCTGGGACTACAGGCATGCGCCACCATGCCTGCTAATTTTTCTATATATATTAGTTGGCCAATTAGTTTCTTCTATTTATAGTAGAGACGGGGTCTCGCTCTTGCTCAGGCTGGTTTCGAACTCCTGACCTCGAGCAATCCGCCCGCTCGGCCTCCCAGAGAGCTAGGATTACAGGCATGCGCCACCGCGCCCGGCCTAAATTCTTTATTTTAAAAGCTAAGAAGCTGCCGGGCGTGGTGGCTCACGCCTGTAATCCTAGCACTTTGGGAGGCCGAGGCGGGCGGATTGCTCAAGGTCAGGAGTTCGAAACCAGCCTGAGCGAGACCCGTCTCTACCAAAAATAGAAAGAAATTAATTGACCAACTAAAAATATATATACAAAAAATTAGCCGGGCATGGTGGCGTATGCCTGTAGTCCCAGCTACTCGGGAGGCTGAGGCAGGAGGATCGCCGAGCCCCGGAGATTGAGGTTGCTGTGAGCTAGGCTGACGCCACGGCACCACTCTAGCCTGGGGCAACAAAGTGAGACTCTGTCTCAAAAAAAAAAAAAAAAAAGCTAAGAAGCTGGTTTTAATTCAGTATTTTAAAATATCATAAAGTAATACTGCAAGACACTTTAAAATGTAAAGAATTTTATAATAAAATCAGGTGTCTTTTTCATATATATGTGGGTTTAACTAGTTGTATGCTATTCTAATTAACACACTTTTAATCAACACACATCTTTTAAAGACTTCAAAAAGAAGAAAACCTTTTTTGTGCAGGTTACAAACACAAAATGAGACACCAATGGAAATTATTTATCAGGTAACAAAAACATTTTTATGCCATATGCACATATGCTTTGATAGGAAAAAAAGACAAAAACAAAACAATTAAAAATTGCTTTTTGTCTGAACCTAAACCATTTGCCTTTCTATTGAATGCTTAGTTTCATTTCCTGTTAAATGTTTGATTCTATAGTTAATTCTAGCCCATGAATGGATTAAATTATATGTATGATAAAAAGCAATCTTTTTATACATAACCTTAACATTTGTACCCCCATAATATGCTGAAATTTTTAAAAAAGCAATTTTTTTTTTTAGAGTCTCTCTCTGTTGCCCCCGATAGAGTGAGTGCCGTGGAGTCAGCCTAGCTCACAGCAACCTCAGACTCCTGGGCTCAAGCGATCCTCCTGCCTCAGCCTCCCGAGTAGCTGGGACTACAGGCACGCGCCACCATGACCCGCTAATTTTTCTATTTTTAGTAGAGACGGGGTCTCGCTCTTGCTCAGGTTGGTCTCGAACTCCTGAGCTCAATCTGCCCGCCTCGGCCTCCCAGTGCTAGGATTACAGGCGTGAGCCACCGCGCCCGGCCAAAAGCAATCTTTAATGACATTTAATATTATTTCTATTAAAATTTGTAACTACATTAAATAACGTAGATTAATAATATTTTCTAATCGATTTGCACACAAAAAGTTGTTTGCTGTAGGCAGCTGTGTAATGTGTTTGCTAATAGAGCTAAAGGCCACAGGTTGCATTTGTCAGACCCCAGCCTTTCCAGATTCCTTCCATTCCGCCGAATTCAGGCGGCGCTGGAAGGTTTGAGCGTATGACAGAAAATCTGATCAATTCCACATTAGAGAGGACGTCAGAGAGTGACGGACGCTCAGCGGAGGGACCTCCGGAGGCAGAAGGGTCGGCTACCTAACAACACGTCTGAACCCTGAAGGCATCCCGGACCGAGGAACACGACAGAAGCTGCAAAAGGTGCGCCCGTGACAGCCTGAACGGCCGGCGGGCCAGGCGGGGACGCGCGGCGGCGGTCTCCGAGCCGGCGGGCGGGGGGCGATGGGCCCGCGCCGGCGCGGGGCATGGGCCGAGGGCGCGCGGCGGGCCGAGCGCGGGCGGGCGCGGAGCGAGGGCGAGGGGGCGGGCGGGCGCGGGGCGCGGGCGATGGGCCGTCTCGGCCGGGGCGGGCGGCGGGAGCGATGGGGCCGTCGCGGGCCGGCGGCGGCGGCGGCGGGGGCCGACTGCGCGGGCGCGGCGGGCGGCGGCGGGGCCGAGCGGGCCGGGCGGGCGGGGGGGCGGCGGGCGAGCGGGGCCGGCGGGGACGATGGGGCCGTCGCGGGCCGGGGGCGGCGGGGCGATGGGGCCGCGGGCCGGGCGGCGGGGATGGCCGTCGCGGGCCGGGCGGGCGGGGCGATGGGGCGTCGCGGCGCGCGGCGGCGGCGGGCCGAGGCGGGGCGGGGCGCGCAGGCCGAGAGGTCTGTGCGCGTCGGCGAGCGGGAGGGCACTGCGGGACCGCCGTGGAATGGGCTGGCATCGTCGGGTAGAGGCGGCGCGGACCGTGTCGGAGGCTGAGGAAAGTGGCGAGAGTGCGACAGCGGAGGCCGGGAGCCGTCGCGGCGTCGGCTAACTGGGGACGGCGGCGCGCGGGGGTCCGGTGGCGGGGCGCGCGCGAGTCTCAAAAAAAAAAAAAAAGAATTTAAAGATGGAGAAAGGGGCCCAGATTTCCTTTACCCTTTGTTCATGCCACAAATATTTACAGAGCACCTGCCAGATGCCATGTATAGGTTTTGAAAATAAAGCAGGGAACAAAATTAAGTTCCCACCCTTGTGGAGCTTGCATTCTTGTGGAGGAAGATGAGCAATGCACAGACTAGTTGGAATATGTCAGCGGGCATAAGCGTAACGGAGACAGAGGAGGTCAGGGAGTGGGGTGCCATTTCACAGTGGTCTGAGAAGGTCTCATTGATAAAGTGACATACAGCAGAGACCTGTAGGACTGAAGGGAGGGATCCGTGTGGATATTATAGGGCAGAGCTTTCCAGGCATGTGTTTGGTATGTTTGAGAATCAACCAAGAGGCCATGAGGCCTGAGCTGAGTGGATGAGCGAGTGGAGGTGGGGGTTCCGGTCATATAGACCCCAGTCA